GAATTGTTTTTTAAATTATCTTAGATTAATATTTTATATAAAGTGTTATTATACCTCTCTTTGAAGGTAAACAGACCAATAATAATTTGATAATTGTTTTGTGATAATTTTTATCAGTCAATTAATTAAATTAATACAATATGTGTATAATAAATGAATAAAATTGTATGTATGTATAAAAGTTAATAAATGAAAACCAAAAATTTTTAGACTGACATGACCTACCAAATGATACATTAAATCCCATAATACAATAGTAATACTTTGAGAAATTCTTTAACAAAATATATGTAGCAATTATAATTAGTATCCAATGCTTTCTGACTGTTTTTTCTAATCACAAATATTTTTTAACATTTTATGTTTGTATAGTTGGAATACAATTTAATAACTAACACTGTATAACCAATAACTTGATTGGCAACAATTTGCAATCTAAATTTTTTAAAGTTTTTGTTGTTTTTTTTGCTTACTGTTTCATTTGCGTACAAAGATTAATTATCATCTTTAGTTTGCATAAACATTTATACATCAACAATTATGAATCAATTCTAATAATTAATTCCTAATTTTTGTTTTCAATTCAAAATCATGATAATGAGATAAAAAGTCTTCACTCTCAAAGTTTTTAAAAAAACTTTCAGCTTAATTTGATGACATAGCATTATAACTATTATTAATTAAAAAATGAGAAATTTATTTTTTGTTATTTACGTAATATTTTACGCAAAAAAAAAAAAACTGAAAATTATATGTTTTAATATTTAATAGCAAAGTAAAATTTAGCTTTTTCTTATTGCTTCAATAATTTCCAAAGAGTTATTTATCGAAATGACAACAATTTTGTTTATATTTTCATCACTTTATTTTCACTTTATTTTGATGGAATTTATGCAAAAGTAATTTGTAGTTATAGTTGAGAAAATTAAGTTAAAAGTTGAAGCGAAGGAAAGAGAGTTAAGTTAAGTTAAGTAATGCAAAAAGGCGCAGAAATTATTTTGACATCCGATTATTTTTTATAAGTATACAAAAAGCAAATAAAAATTTTTTCGCACCAAAAAAGAAAACTTTTGCTTACTCTCAACAACAATTACTACTCACGCTTATTTTTTACTTTACTTTAACTCAAACATCTTTTAACTTTGAGCGTAAAGTGCTTTACGCTTTACTGTTGACTAAACACTGAAGTTTATCAGCACTTTTGTCACTTTTTCTCAACTGATAAAAGTTAAAGTTCATAAATTAAAAAATCATTCCCTGATAAGCCATTAATTAAAGAAAAAATAACAAAAATATGAACATTTAACTTATTTATATTTATGAATTTTAAGATGTAAAAAGAAAACAATATTATCACTGATAAGCCAGTTAAATAATAGACTTAGAAAAGTAATAAGAATGCTTAATTACAATAGGACACGAAGAACAACTGTCTACACTTTTTTTACGAAATTAAAATATAGTACTCTGATATATTAAAGTTCATAGAGTATCAGCTCAGTGGTCAAAGTTCAATGCTAGCAAAAATAAAAATATCACAAAAATTCTTGAATATGCAAATTAAGCAAAGCTTAAGAGAATGCAACCTTGACTGGGATGAGGACGAGGTATCAGGCAGACTTTCGCTGTTTTTGCACAGTACTTTGTTTTGCATTCTATGCAATTTCATTTCATTCAGCATTGCTACTCGTTTATTTTTCTGTAATACCGAAAACAGTTGCATAAGCTACTGACTATTAATTAATTAATTAATTAATTAATTAAAATTAATGCACAAATTTTTTTTAAAATTATAAAACTTTTAAATTTTAGCTATAATAATCGCGAATTGCTCTAGAAATTCAACACTACACGAATTTACTATCACATACATTAAAATTAAGAATTTTTCATTTTAGCTATATGAAATTTGCATAATTATTATAACTAAATTTGCAATTTACGCATATAATTTGTTTAAATTTGTACACAAATGCTAATTTCAAATTTGTGATTCAGATCTTCATTAGTTGCACTGATTCATTTTTTGAAAGTGTATTAATTTGTGTTCATTTTATAAAACTCTCATTTTATATGCAAAATATTATCATTCTGAAATTTGGAAAGTACACTGAAAAAGCATTTAAAAAGTAATGCATACATGTACTTTTATTCAAATGAGAAATTAGCGAAGATTTTTTATTATCTATCAAAATTCAATCAAACACTCTATATCATTTTCCGATTTATAATTAATAAGTACGTGAAGAATAACGCTTAGTCAACGCGTTATTCTTTACGTACTTACTAATTAAGCTAACTGGTTTTTTGCTTTGCATATTTGATTTTAATAAAAAGTTTTTTTTTTCTCAAAATTTGATCACTTTTAAAATTTTGGTACTTTTTTTTCAATTTTTAGTAATTTTTTGTCAAATATTTATAATTTATATCAATTTATTGTTTTATTTTGCTAGTGATAGTCAAGAGCAAAGTTACTCTGATTGCAGATCAAGTAATCAGTAAGTTACTTTCATTAATTTGTTAATAACTGAACAACAGTTGAAGTTCATAGGATAAATGTTGTCTTTAACTCTTTAATTTTGTTTCACATTAGAGTACAGAGCATAATAGTTATCCTTTGTAAGTCTTCTATTAAAATTAAATAATTAAACTCTTAATAAAAGCTTTATTTACTTAATTAAGTTCGAAGTTTAATTTGAAAACTTGGCGTATAAATCATAATAAAAAAAGCACACTATAGAATTTAATCCTTTTTTACAATTAATGATAAATTTCCGAATAGCTTTCGGACAACAAATTGAACTACGTGAACATTATGCTAGCTTTAATTGGTAATTATACTTGCTAACTTTATTAGATGACTCAGATAACGCTTAAAAAGCAATAAAAAAATGCTAAAAGTAATTGAAAAGAAAAATTGAAAATAGTAAAATGAATAATTAGAGTAAAACAGTTAAACAGAAATTACTTAACAATATTTTCACCTGCTCGCTTTTAGCAGCTAACAACTTAGCTGCTCGATATATTCCCCAGTAAAGGTATAACATAACAAATAAAGTTGACCAATAATAAGAAATATACATTCCCATATTAAGAATTGGATATGCCATAAACTGTACATAGCATTCGTCTTCTTTCAATATTCTTTCACCCGTAAATTTATCATAACCAAAAATTGATAAGCCAAATAGTACCGTTGGAATCTGAAATATCACTTAGTTCCACGTAATTTTGCATTATTCTGCATTACACTGCATAATTCTGTGGCATAAATTAAAGCTTCATAAATTCAATTAAAATTGAAACAAAAAGTATTCTGAAAAGTGAATTCTTAAATTTTGTCATTTGTAAAATACTTTGTGATTAACAATTGCAGTTAGATAATGATAAAATTGTATACAGTTCGACAATTAATATCAAGTAAAAATATAAAAAAATTGTAGTCAAAAAGTGAAACCGAAAAAGTTTTGATTCAAAAACTTAAATTCAAGAAAATTTAAGCTAGAAAATATCAATTTTCATTGGAAACAAAAAAGTCAAAAATGTAAAAAATTTTTGTACTCAATTATTACATAAAGCAGTCAAAAATTTTAATAATTATATGAGCTCTAGTCTTTATCTTATTAGTTTTTAATATTTATCCTATATTTTATTATATAAAGTTTAATCGCACATTACTACTTATTAAATAATAAAGTTTAATTTGCATATTTTTCATTATCTTAAAAAAATTTGCAGTGTGCTAATTTGATATTACTCTGGCAAGTATTTACTTATAATTTTTTTTAAATTAATAAAGATATCAAAAATTATCACCAGCCAAATGATAGCAACAGTTAATATGAAACGTCGTGGTGTACGCCAATTTCGATATGCTGCTGGATATTTTACAGAGCAATATCTAAAAATGATATGCAGTTATAATATGTATAACAGTAACAGTTCATCAAATAGCCTTCAAAAAAAGCTATAATTAACTGCTAATGTAATTTTATTATGCATATTAATTAATTTATTATGCAATTTTCTAACAATAAAAAAATTTTGACAACTCAAACAGTCAATCATAAAAAATGTTTGTTATAGAAATGAAGTTGATCAAAAATTCATTGTTTGACAGATTCTTTTTTATAAAATATTCAAAAACAACAGTAATATTTATTGTAACCTATCAATCGTAATGCCTAAAACAGTATAAATTGAAGCCAAACAAACAACATAGTCAATCATTAGCCAAAAATCACACAGAAACCATCCAAAATGCCATTTTTGATCATTTATAAAGAAATAAGTGTATACGGGGATTCCCTCCAAACCAATCATCTGAAATCACTTTATGATTTAAATCTATGAGAGCTACTGTAAATAGTTATATCACATGCAAATTTTCATCATATTAACGGATTATATATCAACTTTAAGAATATACATTTGTATACCAAAGGAAAAGAAGATTACTCAGTTTTAAGTCAAAATTATTGGAATAAACTGATTAGCAAATGACAAAGTAATGATAAAAGTAGCATAAATTAACATCTTTTTGCTCAGAAAATAATCACAATTTATTGCAATACACTCAAAAAAAGTTTGTGTATTTCTGAACTTAAATGGTAACAATGCAAAACAGTAGTAATTTCTCAAAAGTTTATTCATTACATTCAAATTATATTAGTGATTTCCAGAAAGGACCATTTCTGTATTTCTGTATATATGCTTAAAAATGCATCCGCGCACTGTGAAATTTAAGCTAAAACAATACCAAAATATGAGCAGATGAATTCTGTGGATTCTTACAAATATATTACAGTAAAAAAGTATATTAATTAATTAATTAATCAATTAACTATTTCAAAAAATAATAACTAATCAATTAAAAAAGCAAAAGATTATCTTATCTTAATACGCTAATTTTGTAAGTATTGCTTAGCTACAAATAATTGTTTTACGTAAGTAGACGAAAAGACAATTACACTTTTTAACTCTTTTATTTTGTTTCCAGTTAAACTTTTTTGAAACAAAAAATGATTAGTTCATTTGGAAATTATAACAAACTATATTATCTTTTCAAGAAAAAATAACAATATTAGATAATTCTTATCTTATTATCTTATTTTAGCTTTAAATGATTCTATTTAAATTAGACGTTTAATGAAATTAAACTTAAAATCTAACTTAAATATATAAATAAAATATTTTTGACATTGAAAATTTTCAAATAATACAACAATTTTTGCTTTACTTTGATTTTTTATCATAAGCTTTCTTATTTTTCTTCCTGATATATAACTAAGATTAAATAGGATAAAAGATCAAACTTTCTTAGCAGCTTAAATTTTGAAAATTTGAAAAAATTTTAGAAAAGTAAAATATAAATCATTTTATCTAGTTGAGCCTTATCTATTTTTTCTTTTATGCATTGAAAATATTTAAGCTTTTTTCGTTTTTTTTTTGTAGCAAAAAATTAAAAAAAGAGCTAAAAATTAAGTTATATGACATAGATTTAATACCAATTCAGCATGCAAATTCAATGCAAATTAATATTTTTCATTTTAGAACAAATTTTGGGATATTGTCGATTTATAAACAATATTTATTTGTAATGATCAAAGTGCATTTATTTACTTGCTGCTAAAAATAATTTAATATTAAAAATATTTCTGTTAAAATTATTAAATAACAAAAACGTCTCTTAAATGGTCAAATTTTTAATAAAAGAATATTATTTTTGAAAGGAGTCAGTATTGGAATTTGTAAATCTATTTTATATTAGATCAATCTTTTTAATCATTCAAAAATTTTACTTTTTGTATATTATTCCCTGAAAAACTAATCAATGTTTTACAAGAAGTTTGCAAAAACAATTTTAATCTGATCAGAACAATTGAGAACAGCTGATAATGATATTACTTAAGCGTGTTATTCACATTTTCCAATTTTAATGGAACATGAAAAAATACAACAAAACAAAATAATTTAAATTTTTAAAAATTCTTAAAACAATCTTTTTCTTAAATGAAATTTTTAAACACTTAATAGAGAGCTAAAATTATCAAGCAAGTTTTATTTATAATAAAAATCAGAAAAATCATTCTTTTTAATTTGTAATAATTTACTTGAAAATAAAAAATTTTTTATTGTAATAAAGTTTTTGTTGAGTAATTACAAATTTTTGCTTCATCATTTTAGCAATTCAAATTTTCTTGCAGTCTATAATAAGCATACTTATCCGTTCATAACTTTTTATTAATTTTTGAGTTTTTTTGAAAATTTTTGAAGTTTTCAAATTAAATATTGATTGAAAGAATAAAAACTGTTTTAAGTTACTAAGAATAAAACTCAAAAATTTTGCTTCTAAAATTTTCACTCATAGTATGAACTTATTTTAAGTATGCTAATTATCTACATCTCTTTTTTTGCATCTAAAAATTCAAAAAACTAAACACTTTTTTGAAACTTTAAAAATTTTTAAAAAATATTTATAATTTTTCAATATTTTTAACTCTATTTTGAGGCAAAAAGCAGAAAAAATAGCTAAAAGTAAATCAAACACAATGATTTATAGCTTACTTTTCAATAACTTTTTTAAATATTTCTAGTTCCCAAGTCATTTTTGAACTAAAGGCAATAAAGATCTGAAGAATATTTTAGATATACATCTGGTAAAATGAATGACACAATTACTGATACAATCTACGATTGATAGCTCTTAAGATATTATTAAGCAGTAATTATAAAAGGAGGGAAGGTCATAATCCATACATTAATAATACATATCTCATTATTGTCTGGCCATTACTATAAGGTAAGGTCGTACTTATTTATACAGCACTTTTTGCATAATTTCTTCAGTTTACACCAAGTGTTGACCTCACGTCAATCTGTTCTCTCTTTCACCTCTGCCCTTCGTTTTATTTAAGATATTTACTAGAAAATTCAATTTTCAACTTTTTATAATTATTTGCTTAATTCTATCATTGTTTTTTGCTTCATTGCGTATTTTTTCTTACTATCTAATCAATCAGTTTTTTGGACTGATTTTATTTCAAATTTTTACTATTGTTTTGATTATTATTATATGTTTCAGTTCTTAATCATTTTTGTGTATAGTTTTAATAGTTATTCATCACTTTTTATTATTTAAATTACAAAATAATAATAAGTCATTTTAACAAAATAAAAAATATTCTCACTTAATAAATTCTTCGTGAGACAATACGAACAAAAATTTATTCTTTTAATATTTTACAAAATTATTAGCAACTTTTATAATCTCAAAAAAGTACTTAAGATTTTATAAATATACGCAAGACTTATATTTTGTAACTGTGCAAAATTAAAATAGTAAGCATTAAAAAATTAAAAATTGTTGCTAATCTCTCAAGGTTTTAGGCTAACTTTCGTTTCATTGCAATTTTTTTACTGCTGTTGTTTCATACACAAAATAATTTAGAATAAATAATTATCAAATTTATTGTTGCAGTTCTTAGCTATTTTTATTTTGTAAAACTTGCAAATGTTTTTTTTTTAAATAAAAGATTAAATTATTATTTTTTAAATGTTTAAAGTAAAATCATTCCAAAAGTTAATTTTTGCTCGTTAAATTTATAACATTTGAACTTTTTTCAAAATTCCTTCTGACAAAAATTTAAAAAAAGGTTAATAAAAAAGTGGCAGTAGTTTTGCTTGAATGATAATAAAAAGCATAACCAAAGAATTTATTACTGAAAAATTCATTTCAAAAAATTATTATCAATAAATGTATAGAATTGACATTCTAAGTGAAAAATAATTTAATACTTTATTTGATTAAATTTTGATATAAAATTTGTGTTAGCAAATTTAGAAAAATTTTATCCAAAGTATTTTCATTTTCTAACATCTTTTGAAATTTTGCTTAATAACATTTATCAGTGTAGATCAAAATTTTTGACAGCATGAAAATATTCAAAATTTAATAAACTTTATAAAAGCGTAAATTTTGTAAAAATTTTTGAAATTGTGTTCTTATGTTAGATCATTCATAAAGTGAAGTTGTAGCGATATGACAAAAAAGAGTAATAAATGATAAAATAAATAAAATTATAGCACTTAGATATGGTTTATAAAATATGCATAGTATTGTTTGAAAATTACTTATTCAAATTTAATAAAATCATATTTTTGACTTTAAAATAGTTTTCAAAATATGTGCAAAAAAAGTAAGAGTAAATTGAACTAAGCAGTCAATTCGTTTTGGCTTATACAAATTGATTTTACATAAAATAAAATTTTTTAATATAGTTTTTAATGATAAAAATTTTTTTTTTTAAATAAGTCGAAATTTCAAAATATTTTTAAATATTAACATAAAAAATTTATGCAAATTCTTTCAATTAAAATTATTTCTATATTTTGTGCCAAAAATTTGGCTAATTTTTTATAAATTTACAAAGTAAAAATGTATTCTTTTATATTATACTATTTTCTATATTCAAAAGTAAAGTAAGATTAGATATTTTTTCCAGCATATTTGCTTAAAAAAAAATTGTTATTTTTACTTTTACAAGAGCTTTTTTTATTTCTCGAGCTTTTTTCATATTTGCATAATTTTTTTAAGGACATAAAAGTAGAAATTTTTTTTGCTTATTCTTCATAAGGAATTGTGAATTTTAGAGTACATTTGTTCAAAAACAAAATTGTAAAGTTTTATTGAGTATTTTTTTTGGCAAGCAGAATGTATTTGCATGATTTTAATCCAAGCAAGTAACAAAGGTTGAAGTGGATGGATATCAAATCAGATTACAATTTAAGTATAAGTTGTTTGATTACAAATGAAATGAAATTGACTTTCAGAACGAAAATAGATTAAAAATAGCAAAAGTATGTTCAAATTAAAGTAAGCAAATCATTTTTATACTCTTTCTTTCTAAAAGTACTAATGTAATACAAAGATGTAATC